CTAATATAAGAATTAAAACAGAGAATTTTACCACACAAGCACTCATTCCATTAGTAATAATATCACCACATATCATGTAGCTTCCAGAAAGAATGAGAATGAAAAGACCAATAAATCTTCAAATTATTATAAAAATTGTTTGATCTCACAGACTCCCTGAAAGGATTGTTGAAACTCTCGTTGAGTCCCTAGACTCAGCCCTGAGAATCTCTGGTGTAAGCATGCAAGCATATTAATCACCAGACATAGCTTTGAAAGAGTGATGTAAGACAACAATGTGAATTTCACAAAAAGAAAAAAATAAAGAAATTTTGGTGGGTAGAATCAAATATCAGAAGCATACAGAGTAAATGCCATTTGGAGTAATAGCAGATTCATGAATATGACAATCACTCTATTCATTGCAGTGTTATATGATACCATTTCTCTCCATGCCTTATATTTGAAATAATATCACATTCCTTGGAAATTATCCAAGAGAAATGAAAGTTTATGTACACTAATATTCATAGCAGCTTTATTTGTAATTTTTCAAAACTGGAAACAACCAAAATGTCCCTCAATCCTGAAAGGTTAAACAAAGAGTGGCCCATCCACATCATGGAATATTACATAGGAATAAAAAAGGATGAACTATTGATACACCCAAAAACTTAGATGGACCTCTGAAGGAAAAAAATCAAGTTTCAAAAGGTCGAGTGATATTTGATTCCATTCATCTAACATTCCCCAAACAACATAATTATAAAGATAGAAAAGCAGTTAGTGGTTGCCAGTGATTAGGGGTCACATGAGGAAGGTGCAAGGTAAGGGGTGTAACTATAAAGGGTAGCAGGAGGGAGAGCTTTGTGTTGATAGAATGGTTCTGTGCCTTGATTGGGTGGTGGTTACATGAACAACACATGCGGCAAAATGGTGTCCAGCTACAAAACCCATGTCCATTTTTAAATTTTGATTTTATACTATAGTTATCTAAAATATAACCAACCATCAGGAGAAACTGGATGAAATCAGAAACTAGACCCTCCACACTATTTCTGCAATTACCCGTGAATTTATAATTATTTTACTATTAAAAGTTTTCTTTAAAAGTTCCTTAAGTTGGAGACATCAGTATGAACTCATGTTTGTTTGTTTAACAGTTTAAGATAGATAGAAATGCCTACATAAAAAATATCTATAGATATGTGTATGGTTATGGGCTGATTATGTCCTTCCAAAATTCGCATGTTGAAATCATCATCCTTAATACCTCAGAATGTGACTGTATTTGGGGATGGGGCCTTTAAAGAGATAGGTAAGGTTAAAGTGAGGTCATTATGGGTGGGACCTAAACCAAGACTGGCGTTCTTACAAGAGGAGATTAGGACAGATATATAAAGAGGGAGACCATGTGAAGACACAATATTAAAAGGCATTTCCTGAAAAACCTCACATCCTTTAAAACTGTTAGATAGAAGTTAGACAATAGCAGTGGAAGGAAAGCCCAGGGGCAAAGCTCCAAATCCCTGAAGGGGAATAATAGAGACCTGACCTGGAGGCAAGGATGATGAATAAGCTACACATTAAAAGCCCCCTCAACCCCCTCAGGGGGCAAGACATCTTGACCTTGTGGCTTCCAAGACCTCTGAGTTGAGTGATCAAGGGCCACTGGTGCAAAGCTTGTGTTTTCCTCTTCCACTTCTGCTCCAGGGTAACTCCTGAATTCATTAAAATTCCTGAATTCATTTGCCTTGCGGGTATACCCTTTCGGAATCCCCCTCATCCCCTCATCCCACAGAGAAAGGTTGCTCCTGAGGGTTCCAGCACAAGCTTGTAGGGTAAAAAACTACTCCCCCTCCCAATATGTGGGAGGAATTTCCTCACACTTGAAAGCAGCCTTCATTAGAGACCACCCCACTATAGTCACAGCTCCTCCCAGCCCAGAGAAAACCTGTAATATCCAATCCCAAAACAAACGGGGGGGGGGGGGGGGCGTTCCACCTTGTGGACTGCTTGCTCTCCCACCTTGAGAGTGTACTTTTGCTTTAATACACTGCTTTGTGCTTGCTACTTTCCTTCTAACGTCTTTATTCAAGCGCGGATCCCCAAGCAAACCTTCTCATGGGAAATCCAAGGCCTGAGACGGCCGTTCACACAACACAGACTCTCCTACCAGTAACAAAACCCCATACTTTTTTTTTTTTTTTAAAGATTTTATTTATTTATTCATGAGAGACACAGAGACAGAGAGCGAGGCAGAGACACAGGCAGAGGGAGAAGCAGGCTCCATGCAGGGAGCCCGACTTGGGACTCCATCCCAGGACTCCAAGACCACGCCCTGGGCTGAAGGCAGGCACTAAACCACTGAGCCGTCCAAGGATCCCCACAAAACCCCATACTTAATGTAACAAGGTGTATAGGGGGAAATGGCATTAAGAGCAGAAAACTTAAAACATGGTAGTCTGGAAACCAATGGTATCAATAACAATCTTTTACAAACATTGCTCAATTGAAAAGACATGCCAAGTTTTTAATAAACAAAATAATGCTGTAGAATATGTAGAACGTTACCTTAAGAAAAAGTGATAGTAGCTTGATGGACATGGGTATGTGAAAGGCTTGAGGATGATATACATCTTAGAGACAAGGTAAATTGCACAAACTGGAAAGAATCTCTCTTAATGAGTACTTCTAAGAGCACACAGCCAAATGAGCAAGAGGAAAACTTGGTATGAAATTGCAAAACTGGGTTCCCCCATGGCTTTCGGCTTTCAACTCTCATACTTCATGTTTAGCTGCTGTTAATTGGGGGTACAAAGCATTAATGTGCTCCGAAAAGCCATAAACCATGGAGACCTCAGCACTTTGCTGACACCATTCCCTCTTTACTCATCCCATATGAGCTAATTTTGTTGATTCTCATTTCAGAGACACACATGGTAGCAAAACAAACCAGACCTGAAGAGACTCTTTGTTTCTTTATTCGTCTCTATGCCTGTGAATAAATGATCCATTATAGTAATTATTTATTAAATTGCAATCATTTTTCAATATCTAGTCAAAGCTTCACACCTTATTCTGTGGAGCCATAGTTCATTTCAGACACAACATACTTTTTAAGGTTAGGTTTGGAAGAAGAAGATGACCATTAGATTGCCCCACCTTCTCCTTGGGGTTTCTTGTGCTATTGAGGGTTTTTTGTTTCTTTAATAGTTGAAAAATATTTAAACACACAGCTCTGCCCCATTTTCACCCATGATTTCAGGTTTATCCACGTAATTTTTCAAGCCCTTACTAAGGTGAGTTTGAAACAAAAGATTTTATTTAGTATTTCTTAGTCTTATCATGAACTACAAAAGATAACAATTTTTGGTCTACCTAAATTAAAATTTTACACAAAAAATAAAATCACTATACAGTTATTCTTAACTTTTTCATGTGTTTTTATACCTATTATTTTATAAGAAGTAACTACTTCTACAAGATCTGAAATATAAACCACATCTAGTTCTGCTGCAACTTCCCTAATAATTAGCCCTTGGCTCCTCAGTATGAAAATTATTTTTTCAATGAAGATTATTTCCTACGGTAGCATTTGATTTCAGTAAGTCCATTCTCAGACAAATGTTCTCATCTTCAGTTACTTTAGGAGTCCAAATGTTACCTTTATGAGCTTCCTTTCTAAATTCCTTGACCTTTTAAAGTTGTTTGTGTTTTAATCCCCAGACAGGTATACTTCTTTTCCAGACTTTAATGTCTCCTTCTCCAGAAATCCACTTCTCTGCTTCATTAAACCTCCCTGTAATATCCAGAATTAAATCGCATACCTCATTTATTGTTGTGCTTGTGGATTTCTTTTTCCCCTCTCCTTTTTAATGCAGCACTGGAAATGACTTTGAAAGAAATGACCTAAAGTTTTCATCATTCCGTTTGTTTTAATTTTTACTTCTAGATAATTGTGGAAGGAGAAGTTATTTGACCTAAAAAAATAAGTCATCAAAAGTGCTGGGGTTGGGGAAGGTGATGGGCAATGATGGCCACCTCCCAGTAATTGAAGGGGTTTGTCACTTGAGGGAGGAATGATATGATTCCATAGAGCTTTCAAGAAAGAACCAGGATCTGACAGACTAAGCTACCAGAAACATACTTCTACTCAGGCTCTTTTAGAAACTGTAACTTATTACCTTCTGAAAGTACTTATTTGGAGGATTCTTGAAATGAACAAGATATTTTACTGAGTTTATAAATCTGAATCCACATCAAAACCTGTGGGAGGCTTTGGCTAAAGGTCTGTCCCAGCAAAACAGAATCATGTGGTGGGTTAGAACAAAGACCAGGAGGATAAAGGACCTGAGTTAGGACCCAACTGTACTAGGGGCAAAATTTTGTGATGTTGGCAAGGTTTTTGTTTTTGTTTTTTTACCTCTCCCTGCCTCGTCCCCTCATCTATAAATTGGAAATGAAAGTAGTGTCATGGGGCTTTTGTGAAGGCTAAATTAGTTAATATGTGTAAAGTATGCCTGACAACTCAGATGCATTATGTGTCACCTATTTCATAGGGATCTCCTCTCGGTTATTTTGAATTTTTTAGAAATAAAGAATAAAATTTAGGGTAGGTTTTCATTCTGAAAAGTGCACTCTTCAGTTGTCCATATGTACAGAATATATTTTCATGAAAATGCACAAGATCCACAAGGATAGGGCAACCTTTTATTTATTCACTGATGATTCCCAAGCATTAGAAATATCCAGCCTATAGTAGATACTCAATAAATATGCATTGAATAAATAAATTAAAATGTCCAATTGTCTCACATGTTAAAGAACAAATAGATGTACTTAGAATGATTCTTGTTTGTAATTATTTCGTTAATCATTATTGATTGTGGATCATGATAATTACATTCAATCCTAAATAAAGGCTTTCATTGTCATAATCAAGACATTTAAAAAACAAGTCCTGAAAGTCAGGAAATATGTCTAATTTTTCTTCTTCTTCTTTAAAAATCTCCACTAGCATGTTGCATGAAAGGAGAAAAGATTAACACTCCCCTAGACAAAGAGAGAAGAAGCCCTCAGGCCTGACAACACACAGTTAAGACATTGCCACATTCTTCTTGGCATCTAACCATCATTTTTTAAGAAACAAAACAAACAAGCAAAGGAGGGAAAAAGAAAGAGAGAAGCAAACAAAGAAACAGACTCTTAACTGCAGAGAACAAACTGATGGTTACCAGAGGGGAGGAGAGGGAGGAGATGGGGAAAATAGGTGATGGGCATTCAGGAGTGCAGTGGTTATAAGCACCAGGTATTATATGGAAGTGTTGAATTACTGTATTGTACACCTGAAACTAATACTAGACTGTGTATTAACTAGAACTTAAATAAGAACTAAAAAAAAAAAACAACAAGAAAACAAAACAAAAAAAACTGCACTAGAAATGATCCTCTACTAAGCCATCCATGACACTTTTCTATTCTTGTCATTCTAAACATTAAGCTGATTTATTTGATAGAGTGTGAAACATTGTGGGGCACAAACCAGATATACAGCTGGCTTATAGTAAAAAGGCTTAAGAATTTTTATTTAAATAGTAACAAAAGAAATTAGTATATAGTCTGAACCCCAGAAACCACGTATCAGCTATCAAATGGTCAAGGAATAACCTTGCATTGATGTCTTCTTGTTAGATTGGCATGGGTTTAAAATGTGTGGTTTTCAAAAAAAAAAAAAAGTGTGGTTTTCTACTCTGATTTCATGATTGAAATCTATTCCAACTGGATTATAACTCTTCCCGGATCTCTGCTAGTTCTTAATGGATGCAATTTCACTTCACCCATCATGGCAAAGGAATTATGCATTTCCAAGTAAAATTAAATAATAAATCTGAAAAATTGGAAGTTAAATGTATAAATTGTATGGAACTTTTTCCATTAAGTCTTTCAAAATTCACACTCACACATAATACCACAAATTAACATTTCACAGTTGCTGAACAATCATGTTAATATAGTTAACACTCAGATGTTTGTCCCTGAGCAAGGGTCAAGATGCAGATTGGGACATTTTAGAAAATATAAGGAAGCCACTCAAAAATATTTCTAATGCTTTGGCTAAACTCTGTGGGTTTCTATAGGAACTCATCACTATTCAGGTATTATAGCATAATGGTTACAAGAATAAGCTTTGGAATAAAGAAAGACCTAGGTTTACATTTTAATTTACTGTTACTTGAACCAATTATTTATAGTCTATACTCATCTGTAAAGGAAGACATTAATCCCACTTCATAGAATTAGTGTAATGGTTAAATGAGATAATATGTGTTCAAAGAACATGTTATTATTAACAATCACACTGACCACTCATAATATTTATCAATTTATTCAAAAAATATTTAAGAAGGACCAAATATGTGCAAGGGACATATACCAACGGAGATAGCCCTGACTGTAGAAGAAAATACACTTTTAAGGAAATAGTGCAATCAAGTATGTCAGGTTGTATTATATAAGTCTGCCATGGGTTCAATGAGAACCAGAAATTCAATTCTGTCCCAGGAGGTGGAGTCATGAAGAGGCTAACTGTATTAAAATCCCAGCAAGGAAAAAATAAATAAATAAATAAATAAATAAATAAATAAATAAATAAATAAATAAAATAAAATAAAATCCCAGCAAGGGAGAGATGGCACACTCAAATGTTTACTGTAAAGACCATTTACAGAGGCATGGGCAGGGTTAAAAGAACCAACAAGAATGATGAGGTCTCCAAGGATGAGCAAGAGTGGGAAGATGTAGTAAACCCATAGACCAGTTTTGTTTCCAGTATCCAGTGACAGATGCAGCCGTGGGAACTACGGCATTGGTTAGAAGAGCAAAGCCACTACCCAACCACAGACCAGCAGAGATGAAACCATGCAGAAGTGGAGGAAATAAATATCCAGACCTCTCCTTCCTCCTTCCCTCTTCTCTTCCAGTCAATGGTGTCTCCAATTGGCCCACTTTAATTGTAAGCTGAAGCTCAGAGGAGCAAGGTGATGGAGGAGACTTCCCACATCAACCTCTGGGGTACAAATGAGGTGAGAAAGGATGAGAAGCAGAACTGAAGAAGTAGATAGAAAATAACCAGCACGCTAAAAATTGATGAGCCGGGGAATGCGAGTAAGTGTGGCTCAGTTAGGAGAGTACTTTAGCATGTAGCACAACAAAAACAAAAACACATTAGTGTGAGAAAACAAAACAAAACATGTCACATTAGTGAAATTGGAGTGTGGGATGCAAGGCCAGAGAAGTAGAAGTCAAATCATACAAGGCCTGGTATATCACGGGCAAGGCACTTGGACCATATTCTATATAACAAATAACAGCCTGTGTCTCCCAGATGACAAAAGGAATCTATTGCTAATTAATTCCATGTATGTGTGTGCATGTATATTTGTGTACATGGCTGAGAACAGATCATACTGAGAAAATAGATTTTTTTGTCTAATTTCCTGTTTAAGATTCTTGAGAACCAAGGCTGCTGATACAAACCGTATATGTTATGGAGGACACAGTACCATTCCTAATTATTTTAGGGTAATATATTTAGTTACATACTAAATTAACACTAAGTGAAGTTGGAAGAGATTCAGAAAGCAATTAAATATCATTTGAAATAGAATGGTAGGATAGGATATGTTGTTTTCTCAATACAGAATTTGTGTTGAATGATTGCACCAAGTTAAATTGACATTCCCTCCTCCACCCCAAATTCTAACAAGTAATTCAGTCTCCTTCACTTTCTCCAAATCACATGGAAAGAAAAGATGCTAATGTAAGTATATTTCCTTATTTAGAGTTGCCCTTGCATTAGCTCTTCAGACTAAAAGCCAAATTAATCTTATGGTGAAGCCTACAAACTCCAAATCACATATAATGAATCATCTGTTTTGCTTCTTTCCTAATCTTGTCCATGGAAATACAAGAGAAGTACTGAGAAGCTTGTTTGAAGAGCAAATTGAAAAATAATTTCTCAAAAGAGCTCTTATACACTGTACCTATTGCTTTTCTTAAATCTTGTTTATGTCTTTTGTGTAAAAAGAGAGATGAAGGGCAGCCCCAGTGGCACAGCGGTTTAGTACCACCTGTGGCCCGGGGTGTGACCCTGGAGACCCAGGATCAAGCCCCACATGGGGCTCCCTGCATGGAGCCTGCTTCTCCCTCTGCCTCTCTCTCTACCTCTCTCTCTGTGTTTATGAATAAATAAATAGATCTTTTAAAAAAAAGAGAAAGAGATGGAAAAAATACACTAATTTTCTTTGCATCCAAATACACGTATTATAATTTGCAACAGATTCTCTTAATATTTTTGTTTACAGTTGGAACTGAAATTCTGGGGCCACAGAGCAATATTTAACTCTTAACTCTAGTTCCACTGGCTACTGAAACTTGAACTAAAACTCAAACTGATTTCTGGATGTTTCTGTAAGTATGTTGAACATTGTAATTTAAGAGATTAGCAAATTAAAACCGACTACCTGACTTTATTTTGGACTAAGTCAATTATTACTTTTTAAGGTTTTAAAGGCAGCAGACTAGGTTAATTCATAGGAAATATGCCATGGTATACAAAAATCCTGTTTACCTTATGTAGATTCTGGAATTGAATAAAATGATATTTTAATCAATTTTTTGCATATTAAAATAAGCATGTGGCTTAAAACTCCAACCTAGTAATTTATCTACTCAAAGATTTCTTGAGAGTTTGGCAGGAATCAGAAATAATTAAGTTACTACAAGTCTCTAGCGTACAATGACAATTTCAGAGGAAGATTTGCTCCCTCTCATGAGGGAGATTTTCTGTAGGGAAAAGAACTAAGAATTACAACTCAGAGGAAATAACTGCATCAGAGGGGGAAAGGGAATATTTTACTTCAAAAGGAAGATGATTTAGAAAAAGACCAGCTTCTCTGAAGCCTAAGAAAGAAGCAGACCACAGATACTAAATAGCTCATTTATTCATTTATTTTTAAAGATTTATTTATTCATTTGAGAGAGAGAGAGAGAAAGAATATGCACATGTGGCGGGGTGGGGGAGGGAGGGCAGAGGGAGAGGAAGAAGCAGGGTCCCTGCTGAGCAGAGAGCCCCCTGCAGGACTCCATCCCAGGATCCCAGGATCCCGACCTGAGCCCAAGGCAGACGCTTAACTGACTGAGCCACTCAGGCGCCTCACATAGCTCATTTTTTAAATATTAAAGTATTTAAACCAACAGTTACCAAATACTTAATTACATTTTAGACAGAGGGATATTTCTATCCCTTGAAGACTATTAAGTTTATTGAGAGAAGTCAAATAGTTTTAAAATGAAGCATAACATTTTAAAATAAAATTTTACTCATACTGTGGGAGCAAAGAGGAGTGTGCTAGAATGCTGGAAGGAAATTTACAGGGAGAGACGATTCTTGAGTTGAGCAATGAAAGAGGGGAAGTGGCTTCCAAAGCAGAGAGAAGAGCCAGTTACTTGTGTTAAGAATTTCCAGTGGGGGATCTGTGAGTTGAGTGTGATGGGAAGGTAGAGTGGGTGGGGAAAACCATGTCAGAAAGGCTGGAGAATGGTCTGGATGAAGAATGCCAAGGAATGTGAATATCATTTCATATGTGAAATCCCCACTAGGGATTTTAGGGAGCATAGGGATTTGCTACAATTTGCCTTTTGGAAATATCCCCTGGAGCCATGTGGTCACTTAATTAAAGGGAAGAAGCAAGGAAATATCTTAGTAAATGATGCACTAGAGTCATAAGTGAATCAACTTGGGATAGTCACAATTAATTTATCACTATTAACGGATAACTCCAAAGTTTTTGACTTGAGAACATCAGGCTCAAAATAATTTTTAAAGGGAGAGGTGGGGGTGGATTTTATAAATTAGAGTCGCAACACAAAACAGAAGGCTCACACTACTTAGGATATTTCAAAGAAGGTTTAACAGAAGGACTATTTACAAAGTCGCGGGCAGGGTATTGGAAAATATAACAGGTAGGTCAGTACCAAGGGACAAGTAACAGCGTAGTTGTCACCAGTGGTATGACCGAAGGATGAGGGGAGATAGCAGCCACTGGAAAGCCAAAGGGAGTATTGTGGGAAAGTGACCAT